CTTCACAAAATCTGGTAGACATTTAGTAACATTACAAGTCTTTTGTACACAAAAAATCAGATTTTTTAATGAAATATTTTTACTACAGATTTGTTTGTGAAAATATCGAATCTGTTTCATTACTAGTCCAAGTGTGAAGTGATTTTCATGTTATGATTAAAAACTATTCTTCATCCAAAAAATCTCAAATATTATTTGTGTAATCTCTAAAACCTTCTAAATACATTTCAAATGTATGTTTCAGAAAAACTTTATATTTGGTCTGTTATTTTCTCTACCCTAACTAGACAGGGTCTGTCAATTTGACTGACCTTGTAACTACCATAAAAAATTAGGATATAAATATAAATTGTTTTTTTTTGTTCTAGAATGACACAAATTATAACAGAAAAACACAAGTGTTTAGTTTAAATGAATTAAATCTCTTAACATTATACATATATTATTTTTATTATATTGACCTTCCAGTCGTGCCTGTCTAACATTACAGAAGTAGCAATGGGCACTCATGTTACCGTATCCAAGAATATAAAACTGGCATTTACAAAGTGACTTGTCTTGGCTGTGTTTTCGTGGACTAGTATTTTGTAAAATACATTATTACTATTTACAAATAAGTTCTTAAACTTATTTTTCTTAAAACATAGAACAGTAAATAAAGAAGTGTTGCAAACAATTATCTCTTCTAGTTACAAACTTTGTACTCATTTGCTGCTTGCCATAGGTTGGTAAGACTTAACAAATTTTGCACATGGAGGATGTGAAACGAAATAATTTTTTTAGGTTTTATATATACATTTGAAATAACCAAAAATTATAAATTACTATATCAATACAATAGAATTCCACTATAATTTATTAAACTTAGTAACTAAGCTGTATTTGGGTCTAATAAATTATGAAATATCGAGCTCACTAAAGTGCCAACTTACCCTCTTTGAATCCAGAGTGGAAAGAAAGGATTTCCCACTCAAATAGTTTGCAAAGGCTCAGAGAACCACGTGGGGGACATTCCGAGCTTTCGATTGGTTATTCACATGCCATATACAGAAGTAAGTGTATATAAGGGACTGTTTCCAAAACTGGATAGAGGTAAGTGGGGCCACTGTGTTTGATTCAGTACATGAGCAATATCTCAGCAAATAGAAATGATAGGAGGTTTTTATTTTATATTCTAGCTTGTTAATATTGGTAATTTGAGTTCCCAATTCGTACAAAACTATAGACCTTGTATTTTGACATCACAAACATCTAATTTGTATCAGTGCTGCATTCAACATACCACGTGACACACAAAAATCAATGTTTAGGCGTGTTTTTTAATATTCTTTTAAATTGAAAATCAAATAATGTATAATACTAAAATTTTAATTATAATCTACAGTTTGATACCAAACTTATTGACATAAATTCATAAAATAGTAGTTCAATAAAAGTTTGAATGCAAGTCAAGAAACACAATGACACGGCCTTTGATCTGTGGCAATAGGGTTAACTTAAATGAGCACTAATCAGTAATATGATGCTATAAACTAGGCACGGCACAATTTGACAACTATTGGTAATCTTAATGGAACCTTGATTTTGATAATGAATTCTAGAATGTTCACAGTGACAATAAATCACTTTTTTGGCAGGCAGCTACTATCAGTGATATTTAGATGATCTCACACTGTTTGGAGTCACACTGATGCCATTTACAATCTTTTACAAATTGTTCATATAATATCTAGGAGTATTCTGAAGATATCATACGTGTAATTGTTTTAGTTTTATTGAAAACTTATGTGAATATTTTTGATGTGCATTTAAATTTAATATTAGTTGGGGTTTCTGCAATATTACATACATTTGAAGACAAAAATAGATGCAGGGGTGAACTGGAACTATAAACAGCCTTGAATTTGTATTTTAAGCAGCCCATGCTGCCCATCAGATATAGGCCATATTTAGTTTGTGAAAAAAAAGAGGGAAGGGAGCCAATAGCAATAACAGAACAAGTTAGAACTACCACTATAAGCAGCAGTTCTAATTATCCTAAAGTCATAATCACATTATGTACTTCAATACCTATTAGGCCTACATTAATTACAGATTATGAGACAGACACAGGTGAAATTTATTTTAAAATAGTTTGATAATCTGATTAATACAGAATAATTACAGAACTAAAATATTGCAATTACAATCAGATTTACATGTATGAATGTTACTAAGACATTTTTGTCAATTTACCTTAGAACTGATAAATAGATGGTTTTGTTGAAATTGATCCATAATGAAATTTAAATTAATAAAATGCCTACATAAAAAATTAGTTTTTTGATGAATTAAATCTAGAAGCCAAGATCTTAAACCAGATAGTCAGGTCTTATTTTAGGCAATATGATCTTAAACAGTCTTAAAATTCAAAACAAAATCATATTTGTATGCAGCAGGCCCAACAAACATTTTAAATAAGGCCTATATGATGAACTTGTAATTCTAAGCCTGACACTTCATATTATACATGTAAAACACAAACCCAACTGGCCCACCAATAGGCCACTGAGAATTCTCTTAGTCTCTCACTGGTCCAAACTGCCACTTAATTTGTCCCTAATTATAGAAGCATAAAACCACATTGTATAAAACTGATTCAGAATCAATGGAAATTGGCCATAGAACTGATGTGTCATTTCTACTAGCCTAGGCTATATTCTATAGATATACCACTAATATCAGACTCATAATGATTATAATGTATATAGCACTCTTACATCATAATATACAGGTTGCAAGTATTACAGTTTTGTTTACTTCAATTTTCAAAAATCAACATTTTTACCTTTTAGTGATGACATTTTTGCAGAAACTTTTTCACTGGAATGCTATTATTTCATGTTGCTGCAACTTTTTATATACTTACCTTTCAAAATATGCATTCAACAAGTATTTAGCCTATTTCTTCAATACTATCAATCACAAAATCCATTAGATGGTAAACACGACATCATTTTAAAGAACCATGTGATATAAGATCTGCTGTGAGTGACTGATTATTATTTTGACAACATCAATTATTCTCACCTTGACATAGATATACAAATTAGCATTTTCATTGTGCTGGGCAAGAATTAAAGTGAGAAAATGTCTTAGCTATATGAAGGTCGTGAAATTTTATCATTGATTTAAAAGGAAAAAATTTTTTTAAAGAATCACAATTTTGAAAGGTAAGCACTGTAAAAAGTTGCCAAAACATAGAAATAATAGTATTCCAGTGAAAAAGTTTCTATGAAAATGTACAACTAAAAGGAAAAAATTTTGATTTCTGAAAATCTAAATAAAAAAAACACACTGTAGAATGATATAGTCTTATCCCTTATCATAAAGCACAATATAATGTCATTAACTTTACCTGCTGGAATGTACAGATATCTTTTTAAGAAACTTCAACTCATAGAGTCATAGTTTTTTTTATCTACTCATACTTGCAATGATGACTTCAACTTGTGATGCAAATGACATAATTAAAAGCCACGTGATTCCTCTTTTTCTTAAGATTTATTTGTTTGGAAAATGTTGGGAATGTTTTCCAGAAGATATCAGTGTGAAAAATATACACTCACAACAAACTGGCCAGCCTTCATTGGTCTTCAGTGTTTTCACTACCTTCAAGGATTTGTTACTGAGCAAGATTGTCACTTTATTATGATTTCTAGAAAACAATGAACACAAAAAGTGAGAGCCAAAAATCTGAGGACCTAAGATTGCAGTTTAGTTAGCCTGTAGGTTAATCCAACCTTGATACAACCACCTACTGGAAAAGCTTATATGTTCCTTTGCATAGCCACTACAAGCAAATATATAAATGACAAAAATTAAGGATATTTATTTGTGGAATTTCCTACAAAGCTACACAAGGTTCACTCATATTAGTTGTCCCTAATTTTGAAGTGATAGTCTAAAGGGATGGCAGTTACTTAACAACACCTGCTACCAAATCTTGGGCTACTTTTTTCTACTGAATATTGGGATTTCACAATCACTATTACATTACACCCACATCCCCAAAATGAGTTGCAAGATTTTCATTACTGGTAATGGGATGAAACCATGGAAGCTTGGATCCACAGGCTAGAACATTAATCACTGGGCTGTGCTTACCCCAAATGGGTATGTCATCCTTAAAACTGAAAACGTTTTTTAATTCTAAAAACAGATTTAAATACACCCACATTCAGTTTTTATCTGTTTATAAACTATTCCAAGAAATGAGATCCTAACTTCTTTTTAATGTATTAAAATTACTGCCTTATAAATGGTAATACCATTATTATTGGTTTCTTAGATGCATGAAACTTCAAGATTTTAGATGGATAAACATTATGTTTACAAATTCACTGATATTACTGTTATCAATTAGGACTTTATGAAAAATCTTAAAATGTTCTGTGATATGAAAAATGCACTGAAGGAAAATGTGATATCTGCATATCACACCTGTACCAACTAGTATACTTTTAGAAAATTTGGCCAAAAGATAATACTTATTACTTTCAGAGATTTTTACCTTTGGTTTTGTTCAATACTTCCAAATTCACTCTTTCCTAAATGAAACTCTTTTCAAAAAGATTGGTTAAACTCCTTCAAAAAAGTCTATTCTTAGTTAGATCTCAATTACATCTTGTAAAAAATGTTCAAATCTGGCTTATCTTCACAAAAATTAAATTGGTCACTTAACTTTTTTTCTGTAACTGATAAACTCCCACTAATAAAGCTACATATGGATATGAACATCCAATCTAATGTAGAATATGTTTCCTTCCTTTACTAAAACTTGTAAAAATTAACATCTAAGCTATACAAACTTTTCACTAAGCTTTAATTACTTTGAGAAAACATAAAAAAACAAAACATTTCACATAACTTTAATGAAGTTATTCATAAATAAACAAACTGACCAAAGTTAGAACATTAATACAGTGACAAAACTATTTTTGATTCATGACCTAACTAACCTTCCTACTGACAATCAATAGTAGGCACTCTGCAGCATATAACTGTAGTTGACTTTCAAGAAGTAGACTCAGTATTGGAAAAAGAATATTGTTTTCTTTTGTGATCTGAGAGATAGGAACCCACTCCACAAAGCCTGCAAGTGTCATTAAAGTAGCTTCAACTACTCTACAATGAACCATCATCTGCAATATAAATCTTAAAATTAAAACAAATGCACAATTACATAGTTAAGCATACAATATTTACACTTTTCAAATCAAGCAATTTATCTTGGAAAAACAACATAAATTAAAAGCAATAGAAAGACAACAAAAAATATCAAAAAATACTTTTTGAGTTGTGAAAATAAAACAATAAAAACTAGTATTAGTAGAATGAATATATGTATGTATTCATACGAGTGAAAAAAAAGCTCTTTAAAAGAGAACAATTCAATTTAGACACTAGTGTGAGATATTAATTTTTGTTTTTACCATCAAAGCTAACTACTCACTTAGCAAATAATATTTTTCAACCTCTATTGTAATTTTGAAAAGAGTTAATACATGCAAATTTAAAAATTTACAAGTGTAAATAAATGGATCTGCAGATATTTTCTAGGAAAATTAAAAATTCATATCCTATATTATCAGTTTTGCAACAGAATCTTACAAAACAAAGTTTAAATTTAGCTCCAAGTATCACTCACCTCTTCTTTTTTATCAGCCTGCCGCTGCAAAAATACAAAATAGCATTCAACAAGTTTCAGGAAACTATTAGTAAAAAAGTAATTTACACTTTGTCTATTTAATAATATTTTTATTTACAAAATAAAGATATTTCTGATGAGTTAGAATATTTGTTTTTAATTTTTCCGCTGTTAATTTATGATTATTTTGGAAGTTTCTCTTGAATTAAAAAAAATATTGGATAGAACTTTTATGAGAATATTTACCTGGTTACATTTTAACATCAAATTAACTGTGCAATATTTGAAAACAAAAACAATTCATATATACATTTCTTTTAAAAATAGATTTATATTGCATGACATTTGGTATGTTAATCAGGATTAGAAATTATTTCTTGAAACTGGTGTGTTACATGTAAAAATATATCATTAAATGTGTTTAGCATTTCCAATGGAACAGATGTAACCCTGACTGTGTTCTAGAAGGAATTAGGGACAAGCATTTGTTTTTAAAATGTTTTTTTTTGGCTGTATGTCTTTCCTATGTTCTGGCTGAAATGCCTTGGCCATGCCCCTATGCTCTGTACACCAAAAGTAAATAACCCTTCCCCGCACACACATTCTGCTACTCATGACATTAAACCAAGAACACTTGGGTTCCCTAAATTATTTCTTTCTAATTACAACACTATGTATATTTCAGATTTAGTGCAGAATAACTTTCTCTGTAATGTAACTTTTAATATTAGCTTTGTAATGCAAAATGCAATAAAGATAATTTACAACTCTTACCATTTCAACATACATCTGATAATGACTTTGTAATGTCTGAAGGAAAAATGTGATTATATTATTTAAGTCTAAAGTCATAGCTTGATAAATCTGTCGTCTCCGCTGATTCTGAATGCTCTGAAAAGCTACAATATCTTCTGCTAACCGTAAAAATATGAGTAGCACCAATTCTTTCTGCGTTTCCTAAATTAAACAAAAGAAATGAAAATGTATATATTTAAACAGAGCTACATTTACTATTCTGTCAAAGAAGAGAAACACTAAGCTACAGAAAAACAATTGTGATTTTATCAGAAACAAGCTGTATTATGGTTAGTTCAATGTTGCTTAAATTAATCACACACACTACATAATTAACAAGTTGGCAAGCACTTTATTGGGAATCATTTTATTTTGAAAAATTTATATTTCATTCATTGTATTACCTTACCTGTATACAACCTATAAGTCAATTAATCATAATAACTAAGTGTAAAATTCACTCACAGAACAAACTGACCAACAGCAATTTAACTTCTATCACTATAACAGCTTCATATTTAGAAGATTTGAGCTTTATGTATTACTGTGCGGTCAATGTAGGTTCAAAACAAATGACAAAGAGTTACAGTTCATTACATACATAAATGAGCATATACTTTTAGTACAATGATCTAATCTAAATATGTTATTATAATGTGTTTATTTGTGTTATAAATGAAAGATTACAAAAATCTCAAATAAAATTTTATCTACACAGAAAGATTCATTTGCTCAGTTGAGGTGGATCTAAGAAATAAATCCGCTTAAAACTTTTAATTGTTAGTTTTTAATAGTGTCACGTGTGATAATTCTATATCTAACACTGATCAATCAAAACTAATGATCTTAATATATATTAAGTTCATTGCTGTTACATGACTAACTTCAATACAAATTCAAACAATATTTAAAATCCATCCAATTCATATATGTAATAAGACAAACACATTTTTAAAAAACACAAAAGAAACACAGTTCCAATAAAATGTGTGATTTTTAGACTCAACATACAAAAAACATTTAAAAATCACTACATGTTTAATGTACTGACTGCTGTACAAATACAGCTTCCATAAAGTCACTCAGAATTCATCACACTGAAATCATTAAACATTTCACTCTTGTATTATATAATAAACTAATGTATTCATTATATTTTTAACCTATTATAGCCAGTATTCTGAACTTGTAAAACTACATAAGTATTTGATAAATTACCTTCTAATTTTTGTTTACTTTCAGCTACCCACTATCACGTTGAATAATAATGTGAGCCTGAACTATATACAGTACACTAGACTTAACGTGAAGCTTCTCTGCACATACTAGTTTTATTCTATCACTATCTGAAAATTTACTGACAAAAAGATCCTCTTTAATAATGCATCCTCCCATACTTCTTCTAATATGTCTTATTACTGTCTATCCTGCTTACACCATTACCGTTCTACAAATATCTTTCTAAAATTCTGCAATAATAAGAATGGTACTTGTGTATTTTTTGTATTCCCTAATACATTACCTTTCCTTCTCTAAATAAATTGTCATAAACATGTGTTCCTCCATTAACAATAAAAGTTAGGTATAACCTTAAATTTCTAAATTAATTTATCTGAATGCTGGAGAAACTTTATAATTTTGAATTTCCCTGTTATGTAGTTATATGATCTTAATATAAGAATTAGACAGCTAGGTTCTTACCTATTTCAATATCTTTTTTTGAACTATTTGTGCAAATCACAACTATTCTAGATCTTACACTTAATTATTTTAAAGAAGTCCAATTAATACGACTATTTCCCTGTTGAATAAATTTAATAATTCTTTGTGAAACATACCCCTATGGCTGAAAGTTCATACATCTCTTGAAGAAAACTGGGCCAATGCTGTGGCCACTCTCGTTTTACCATTTCCACAATGATTCGAGACAAAGCAAATTTTATATGGCTATGTTCCACCAGAATATGTTCAGTTCCCTGTTATAAATAAGAAAATACTTTGTTTTCTTCACCTCATTCCAACTACAAAAATAAGTAAATTGAGTAACAATACTAAAGTTTTACTGTACACAAATCTTTATTTAAGTCATCTATTAAGATTTTTACAAAACCTTTTATATAGGTAGGTTTCTTTAACTCTTTCACCACAGGCTCTGTCCCTGGGACCAACATCGTAACTATTTTCTGATTGCTAGTTTTCATGCTATAACTTTTAAATTAATAAGTGAATATTAATGAAATTTGGCATTACAATGCTTTCATTCGCAAAATATCAATTTTTTTTTTATCAAGTCTTAAGGTTTGCAGAGCAATTTTTTTTCTTATGTCTTTCTTTTCTTGTTGCATGTTCCCTATCTATCAAGCAAAGTAATATTCATTTTAAGATTAAAAGTACTTTTATGTATCAGAAAATTTTCAAATTACACATGCAAAATATTTATAATGTCCAGATAGTTATAAAATGTTTCTTATGAAAAAACTTTATATCTGTTAGTTTCAGTAATTAATCTCTGTATGGGTTCAGTAGATTTGACCGATCTTGCAACCACCATAAAAAATTAGAAAATAAATATAAATTATGCCTCTTTCATTCTAGAATGAACACAAATTATAACATGAAAACATAAATGTTTAGACTAATTAGCTTAAATCTCATAACATTATACATTTATATATATTTATTACTTTATTATATTGACCTTTCAGCCATGCCTGGCTAACAATACAAAAGTTACAATGATGCGGCTCATGTGAACTCACATTACTGTATCAAATAACATAAAACTGACCTTGGTCTGTAAAAAGTAACTTGTCTTGGCTGTGTTTTAGTAGACTAGTATTTTGTAAAATATAGTCACATTTCAATTATTATACATTATACATGTATATAGATTATTACTATTTTTAAATAAGTTCTTAAACTTACGTTTCTTAAAACATAGAACAATAAATAATGAAGTAAATCAAACAATTATCTTTTCTAGTTACAAACTTTGTACTCGATTGCTGCTTGAAGTAGGTTGCTAAGCCTTTAAAGGATATGAAACAATTTTTTTTTTTAGGTTTTATATATACATTTGAATAACTAAAAAATAATAAATTACTATATCAATACCATAGAATTACACTATAATTTACCAAGTTTAGTAACTAAGATGTATTTTAGTCTAAAAAAACATGAAATTTAGAGCAGACTAAAGACACATCCTACCTCACTGAAATATTGGTTCAAAAAAAAAAAAATGGTGCTAAACCTGTTAAAATGGCTGAGAAAGCCACTAGGGGACATTCTGAGCTTCCGATTGGTTATTCATGTGATATATAGAAGTAAGTGTATATAAAGGGAGCATTTCAAAAAATGGAAAGAGGTGGGCAGGGTGCCTCTGTTTGATTTATTATATGAGCAATATCTTAGCAAATAGAAAAGAATAGACCTTATTTTATATTCTAGCTTGTCAATATCGATAATTTGAGTTTTTAATTCGTATGAAACTATAGACTCGGCATTTTGACTTCACACACATCTAATTTGAACCAGTAATGTTTTCAACATACCACGTGACACACAAAAATCAATATTTATCTGTGTTTTTTAATATTTACTTTTAAATTAAGAAATTGAGTAATGTATAGAAGTAAAATATGAATTATAATCTAAAGTTTCATACCAAAGTTATTGACATAAATTCCTCAAATAGTAGTCCAATAAAATTTTTTATGCAAGTCAACAAATGAGTCAGATTTCTCACGTGAAGCACCAGACTTATCAGATATCCAGTGTTTAGGTATATCAAATTATTTTGTATTAAACAAAGAAGCAGATAAAGCATTGAAATTATGGATGCATACAACTATCTTATTAATGGATGGCTCCACAGCTTAGGAGTTATGATTTATGGTGAAAACCTTTTAATACAGGCTTGGTCAATTTGACTGACCACGCAACCTCTTTGTACTTGTTTAAAGTCTTTAGAGATTTAATACTTTTAACTTTCAATATAGTGTATATCTTCACAAAATTTGGCAGTCTTTCAGTTAATATTATAAATCTTTCACATACAACAAATCATATTAATAAAATAAAATAAAGATTTATCCATGAATATATTGAGTATTTATTTTGAACAGTCAGTATGCAAAGTAATTTTCATGTTAAAATTAAAAATACTTTTCTTCATCTCAAAAATCTCAAATTTCCTTTGTGTAATCCCAAAAATCTCCTAAATGCATTTCAAACGTTTTTCTTCAGTAAAACTTTATAGTTTATCTGTTTATTTCACTACCCTATCTCAAAGCAGAATCTAAGTTCATAATAGTATACATTTATTTATAATTACATTTTATTGTTTTATTGCCCTTTGAACCATGTCTAACTATTATCCGCACCATTATAAGTTGTAAATCACTCAGGGAACATGCAGCTCACATTACCCATGAGCTACTACAAGCTGCTTATGTGTGTGCCTCATGAAACATGTTCATTATAATATTATTATTTTACCTAATCTAATCTTAACTAACCTAAAAGGATCTCTATTATTACATTTTAGTTACTTTTATAATTAGACATAAAGAATAAACATGAAAAACAAGAAATAACATACTTAACCAATCTTATATTTTCCTGCTGTCATTTTTTTAACCCTAATTTTTCATACTAATGTTAGTAATGCACTTAATTTTTATCTAATTAAATAATGCACCAAAGGATATAGACTAATACATGCAAAAAGTAGACAAATTCCCTTACCTCTAAACAATTTTCTGGCTTTCTAACTATGCAACAAGAGTCATTGCAAATTCATCCAAGCTAGTCGTTAACTTTCTCATGAGAATGATATTAGTACTCTGAGTGAAACTGACATTTAACTGTTCAGAACATAACATTATACAATATGTCATTTGACAAATAAAAATCTTGACTTTCTATTGGTTATAGGTAATATATAATTAAATGTAAGAGAGAACTATTTATGCTCTGTCCACAATGGGTATCAAAACTCGATATTTTCCATCATAAGCCCTCAGTCTTACCAGTGGACTAATAGGGGGTACTCAATCTAATGTAAAATAATTAACACATTTTCTGATGACAAGGTTAACATACAAGTTCAAAATATTCAGGTATATGAAATAAAGGCACAATAAATTATTCTGGCATAGTTGAACAAATTAATCAACATTGACAATTCAGAAAATTTCGCTTTGTAAATTAAATAAACTGATCTTCAAATTGTAACTTAATTATACTGAATATCCTTGTTTTATAAGATATGGAAATTATACTAAAATGTTATAGTTAAACTTGCAAACTTCAAATCTTAATTATTTCGAAGACTTCTGTAAAATTCCAGAAAGAGAACAAAAAAATAATTTGTTTGTTACACTTAACAGCCAACATGAGTTTATTAAAAGAAATTTCCAAATATACCACTGGTATTGTAAAGGTATTTTTACTTTTGATTCTAATACAATGCTTTTTTATAGAAAATTTACATAATGTGTGCTATATGGAACAGTACCTCTGCAGTAGAGTGGGAGAAAGTAGAGAATATATTTTTGGTATAATAACCCTCTATAGAGTATTAAATAGTTATATTCCTACTTCATTAACTCCAAAAAAATGTTTGTATATATTTATTAAATATCTTTTTTTAGTTCACTGTTTCTCTAACTGAAAATACTCTTATAAAAAGCAAACTAAATTTTATTCTTCATTTCTCCATTTTTAGAAATAATACAACTTGCAAAAATATACATAATTTTATTCCTCAATTTTTCCATTTTAACAAACAATGCAGCATGACTTACTATGCAAGAAGCTACAAAATAATTTTTATTCTTCATTTTCCAACTTTAGCACCAGCAATGCAAGATGATATACTACTGCAAGTAACAGCATAGTAATTTTTATTTTATGCTTTTTAGTTTCAGCAATAATATTTTATCAAAAAGTACTTACTGTTGCAAGAAGCTGCATAGCACTATCTTTGATAAATACTTTTTCCTCTTGAGTCATTCCATTCCACTTAAATCTGAAAGAATATAAGAAAATAATAACATGGAGCTTGCTGGTTTGCCAGATCTTATGAATTATGGTAAATGAAAAATAAAATAATAATAATAATCAATATAAATAAACAATCAATACTAGAATTAAAGTAAATAATATTATGTTATTAATTCTTACCCTAAAAATCTAATGTGAAAATGACTTAAATAATATTGATAATAATTACAGTTCATTTGCTTAATCAGGTTCACACCATAGAAAATTGATTATGTATCTATACAGCACCTAGACCAGCCAGCCTGATGAGGTCTGGAACAGGATGAAAGGCTTCAACAGTACTGGTTATAGCAAATGTAATGTGGTTGATATAACATATTCTCCTTTGCTTTTGCTCATGGGATCTTCTTTGTGTGAAATTAACTTTTTGTTGTTTCTCTGATTTTGCATGCCTATTCTATGTATATACCCATTTTTCATAACTACCAATTCTACAGTATCCCTTAATACTTGAATGTTTACAAATGATTTTCTGTTGTGCTAAGCATAGCACAGTGGTTAGCAAACTGGACTGTGGATATGACATTAGTAATCCAAGAGTTGGCAATAGGAGGTGTTGGCTAGCAGCCTTCCCTCTAGTCTATAGCTTCAAAATTAGGGCAGGCTAGTACATATAACCCTCATGTAACTGTGCAAGATTCAACAAAACAAAAAAATTATTCTCTGTTATATGTTTTTCTTTGTATAAGTCAGCATAAAAATTCCATTTTCTCTAGCATTCTATCATCTCAGCTATATAATGGGCTATCTTGTGTTCTGGGGTATTGAAACCACATTACTTCATTATAAGTTCTTGTTTTCTTTTACTTCAAGTTTGTTCAGCTTTAGGCCAGCATGATCTGATGATTCGAGGTTCTCAGGTTTGATTAGATGATTAACATTGCCACCAAACTCGCTCACCCTAAGGCTATTTGCCACTGTCACTAATTTTGAGCTGCTGACTAGAAAAACGGTAACTGGCTTGCTAACAGCACCAACTCTTTGGCTACTTAATACTTAAGTGTTATATAAAGTGAAAATTTACTGTTTTCTATATTCTGTTATATTTCTAATTTATAACTGTATCCTTTAATGTTTCATAAGCAGGCAGCGATCTAGGGGAGAAGTATGAGGAGGCCTAATTCCCTTCACTTTTTTAGAAATTAGTAACTGTATTCTTTAATAGTGAATAGGCAAGTGAGGATATCAGGAAAGTGTCTATGAAATTCTGACTCCCACCCCTCAATTTTTTTCCAGAAATTAAATAACTATTCTTTAATGTTGTATAACACAGTGCAGAACTAGGAGAAGGGTCCAAGAAGGCCAGACTCCCTTTTTTTTTTATCAGAAACTAAATATTGTATAAACAGGCACTGATCAAAGGGAAGTCTACAAGAAGTCTGGATCCATAATTTATTTTCAGAAATCATAAAAAAAAACTGCCAGATGTCCTTATACTACCAGACAGCATCAAAAAGAAACATCAGATGTCAGTATTCTTATCTGATTGGTCTATTAACTCTTTTTTCAGGCCTTTTTTTAAATTAATATAGCCAGAGTCTACAGTAACCCAGTAAAGGTCTCAGCAAATAACTGATTATTAGTGAGCTAATACAACTATACAAATGTGAATTAAACTTTTGTAAGTTTTAGCACCTTGGCTTTTTCCACATGCTAACAATGCGTCTCAGATGACATTCATAGACCCTTGAAAAAAGTGTAAGCTAAAACATAACAAAGAATATAAAAACATTTATCTGAAGTTGTTTGTCATCTTTATTGCAAATGTTTTTGATATTGTTGATGTCCAAGTCAAAGTGCAAGATGCATGACTGTTTAAAATAATTTTAAAACAGGTACCCTATTTATGAATGAAAGCTATAATATTTTTTCTCTATATTTGATCATAAATAATTATAGCTATCTAATTTTAATTAAAAATTATTTCAGCTTCGCTTTTCACAGAATTATAAATGTTTGATGTGGTAGTTTTGAGTTCATACTTCAGTCGATAAGCAAATCTCACCGTGAAAATCAGCAATACCATGAAATATAGGAAACTGGTGACTACTACACTCTGGAAGAGAACATGAATGTGCTTACGTGACTGATTGTATGTTAGGTAGGTGCGTGCTTGCGTGATTAACCCTTAGCATGCAGGAAGGTCAAACTGCACATTACAATGTTTGAATGAGTTATATTCAAAATTTTATTAAACTACTTAAATATTATGGTATACAAACAAACTTGACATCAAACCATAAATAATAAATCAAATTTTAGTATTGTATAAGTTTTAAGCTCTTAATTGTATAAGGGAATATTTAAAAACAACCTTAAATTCCCTTAGTGTGAGAATTTGGATATTTGTTCTGGATTGTTTTGTCCACCCCTTAGAAAACTATGAAACCTAACGTAAAATATTCTCTATAATTTTGTCATCGATATACTGAACCTATATTTTTATATCTTTCAATCTAATAAGGCTAAAGAGCAATCAATGAAAATTCAGAAACCACTTTCCACGTCTACCTCTGACATGCTCTAATTTACAATTTGCCAATAGATTTTTCTCAGGCCGACTACTATTAAATTTGTACCTGATAGAAAGCCTAGATTTCAACTGATTCATTGCCATAGTCACCATACCATGTGGACTTGCAGATAATTGACAATTTGGTATGATAGGAAAAACATTTTTTGCAAGAGTGCCCACTGGGAATAGTTGAATTTGTAACTGCTCAAGTCACATGATTAGAGAGCCAGAAAAATTCTCACAGACCAAGAACTATCTCTACTATTCAGGTGTTATTATTCTGTATTCTTTTGTGTATTATATAATTAAAGAAAAAATTATTTTGTGGACTAGTAGCACTAGTGTAAAGTATTAGAGCTAACACAGAAGAACAGTCAATGGTAAAAAAAAGGTTACACAGGTAGGTGCCATATTTCTTGTTTTTCTTATCTATTCTTTATTTATTATTATAACAGTAACTAAAAGTGTAAAAATTAGAAACTTTTAGGCTAGATAAGGTTAAATTAGTTTCTATATACATAAGAAATAAACAATTTTAATATTAAATGTAGTAGATTTAAAACCTATTTTAACTATTTCACTTGTGCCTAAGTTTTCATTTTCTTGTGTTATATTAGTATATTTGAATTGTTTATTTCTTATGTATATATATATTTCTGTTGTAATTACAAAAACTTTTCTACGAGGTACACTCTCTAGGTCTAAAAGCTCACAAGTAACATGAGCTTCATGTAACTTCATTAGTGTAACATTAGTTTCATGTTACCAAAGTTTGAAACTTTATATGGCAGAAATTTTAAAAATCACAGTCCAAAATGCAATAAAACAAAATCTAATTAGAAACAGATGTATAATGTTAATAAGTTTTAAGTTATTTAGTGTAAACAAATGTAGCTTCCTGCTACAACTTGAAGTAGTTTTATAAAGAAAAAAATGATATATATATATTTTTTTAATGGTGGTTACAAGGTCAGTCAAATTGATCTAGTCTGTATTGAGATAGAACAAATAACAAATAAAATATGAAGATTTATCTAAACTTCAAAAAAAGTTGGAAATCTATTTCAGAGGTCTTAGAAATTATGCAAAAGAAATTTGAGAATTTTCAGATAGAGAAAAGTATTTATATTCTTAACACGGAAATCACTTTACACATGAAGCAGTTAACACTTGGACTCCATGTATTAAAGTAATAAATCCTTAGCAAATTACTTCATAAATACCTTAATAAAAATTCTGATTTTTTCTTTACAAAAGAATTATAATATTTACTAAAAGCTTGCCAATTTTCACAAATATACCTAAAGCATACTAGGACATATATTATGGAAACTCTAAAGGTTAAGTTGGGGTCACGTGACTAGGTCAATTCGACCTAACCTGTACAGAGAGAGTTAACTTCACATGCAATGGACAATACAATTGAATGATTCCTCTGACTGGTCATTGTTTCATCAGATAAGTGCCAGTCACTGGATCAATTCTTCCTCTGCCAAATCAATAAGGCATCTTCTTCTGGTGCAGCTAGAAAAAGTCAGGTTTGGGACTACTTCAGTCAATCCCAATGATTTTAAAAAGGCAAAGTGCACAAAATGTAAAGATATCATCAAATGGTCTGGCTCAAGCACAAGTGGAATGAAGAAAAACCTAACTAAAAAGCATAAAATTTCTTTCAATGAACCACAACCACAGAAATGCAACAATTTTTGAGGCACCACAAAAAGAATCTCTGCCCATCACATTAAGCAATCTGGCAGCAGTCGACGACCTATCCCTCAACAGAATAATTAATGGACAAGTAAGCAAATGGGGGAGGGTTGTACACACTCAAGACAAGTCAAAGAGAATTACCAGGTGAATGAGAACTAGGGTCATGGTGAGGAAGGATTAGGAAAATTGATGGGTCACCCCATATGACTGGAGTCGTGAAGAGGAAGGAGAGTTGGGAGGATTATGCATAGAGAAAGGTGGGAAGAAGCCTGTCATCAACATAAAATGGATTACAAACCCAGAACATGAAGTCAAGAGAAGGCCCACATAACGCAAATGAGAATAAAGAGGGCTCAACACTCTACTTAACTGAAAAGTATGAATCTGGAAATGTGATCAAGTTGGATAAATAGGAGAAAATGTCGTGAGAACAGGGCAATTGGGATATGGAGAAAGGCAACCAAAACACCTTGGTCATCCATAGGCTGAGCTGAAATCCACCATCCAGTATTATGAAACTGCCAAGAAATGATAAGAGAGAAAAGAGGTTGATAATTGGCTACCACTCCCTGATCTCTATGGAAAGAAAAGGGAGATGGGAGTGAAAATACAGAATGGGGCTGTGGACCTCATAATGTGTTAATTCTCCCATAATTCCAACATCACCACCACTCCCACCAATATGTTGAAGGCATACAGGATCAGCTGGGAGGTGAAGGGAAGCTGGTTGGGACCAAAGAGGAATGGAAAAAAAAAAAAGACTGGGTGATCACCGACAATTAGGCCAGTGACTAATATGTTGGATGGAAGTGGGATAAGAATTGGAGAACATACAGTACACAGGACAGGGTACAGGGAGTGGGTGAAGGGCCAGAACAAGGTATAGAACTGGTGGGTTGAGGTTCGGACTGTTGTGAAAATCAACAAAGATGTGAGGGAAGATTGATGGCGGGCAGCTTGATACCAGAGAACCAGGGACATCACCAAAATCTTTCAAACAAAGAAAAGGGACAAAACAAAGGTCCCAGAGAAAAGTTGATGGGAGACAGACTTGTGATTCCTGGTACCCTTCCCAAAAGGTTCCAACAACATATGACACAGAGAAGAAGAAAAATAGAAGAGGAAGTGGAATGGGCCATGGAAGCAAAAACGTTGAGCTCTAGATTCCCGAGAAAGGTCATGAGGGAAACACAGAAGGGTAGTAAAAAAAATGAGAAAAGCTTTAGAAAGGTAAAAAGCTGACAATGAATCTGACCCCCAAACTGGGAAAGGTAACTGTGAAGGTTAGGAGTCCAAGAATGGGAAAGATGAATAACTGAAAGGGAGAACAAAGGAGACAGTAAGTAGGGAGTACAAGGCATAAAACTGCAGGAGAGAAGGTGAGCCCAAAAACAAGTGGCATATTCACATATAACAAGTGAGGGAGGAAATATAAATAAATTGCAAGCAAAAGCTTATGTAAAAGCAAACAGGAAGAGTAAAAAAACAATGGATTAAGATAAATAATTGTAAATATCTGAGAAATAAGGTGAAGAAAATCATAGTAAGTCTGAGGGTGTCATTCATTAGGTAGCGTAGTTTACAATGCAAACCTGGAGGTGAAAATTAATCCCAATCAGTTTCAGGGAAGGAAAGTGAGTGGAAGGGACAAGAGCAGAGGGTCCCGGCTGCATAATGGACCTCACCACATGATGGAAGATGGCTGTCATATCTTCCACAGGAAAAGAACGCCCGGCAGAAATGGCATTAACTTATCAACTTCAGAAATATTCTCATTAAATTGTGAATTCATGCTGAGTTTAATAAACTCAATCAAGTAAAATTTGAAAATTTAGAAAACTGCAAATCTCAGCAAACCCAAAAAAACATGTCAGTAAACAACAGTGCCAAGAAAAAAATATGAGGATTTACAAACACAAATACACAGAGAGCCACTACGCATGGAGGTGTGTCACACTCCCACTGATGGAGGATTCTACTGCATGCTGACATTATGACAGACTGGTGCAAATTTTGTCCATCACACAAGCAGTTAACAAAATTTAGTGATTTTTGTAAAGAATCTTGTTGATTCAAATTAATGCATTGTTTACTTTTTCAATGTATTATTTAACTCTCTCAGCAATGGGCTTGGTCCCTGTGACTGACCTCAATCATTTTGTGCATGTTATAGTTTTCATGCTATAACTTTTAAATTTGTAAGCAAACAATTATGATATTTGGCAGATTATCAGTAAACATTACAAGGCTTTTGTAAGCAAAATATCAGATTTTTTTTTATTAAGTCCAAAGGTTTTTAAGTAATGTTTTTCTCATGCTTTTTTTCATTTCCCATGTTGCCTATCCAACATGCAAAGAAATTTTCATTTTAAGATTAAAAATACTTTTATTCATCATAAAATTTTCAAATTTCACACACAAAATCTTTATAACCTCCAGGTAATTATCAAAGTTTTTAAAGAAAAACTTCATATTGTATCCATTATTTTCACTATCAAATCTCTGTACAGGTTCAGTATATTTGACTTATCTCATAACAACCATAAAAAATTAGGAAATAAATACAAATTATGCTTTTTTCAGCCTAGAATACCAACAACTTATAACTCACAAACACAAATGTTTAGTCTAAATAGCTTAAATGTCATAATATTATACATTTATATATATATATATTATTACATTGACCTTTCCGCCGTGCCTGGCTAACATCACAGAAGTTGCAATGTGCACTCATGTTATTGTATCCAAGAATATAAAATTGGCATTTACAAAGTGACCTGTCTTGGCCGTGTTATAGTGGACTAGTATTTTGTAAAATACAGTCACAATTCAGTTATAATACATTATATATAATATATATAATACATTATTACTATTTACAAATAAGTTCTTAAATGTATTTTTCTTAAAACGTAGAACAGTAAATAAATAAGTATAGCAAACAATTGTATCTTCTCCTTATGATCTTTGTACTTGTTTATAGCTTGCCAAAGGTTGCTATACCTTTTAAAATTTTGCAGCAGAGGATGTGAAATGAAACATTTTTTTTAGATTTTATATATATATAAATTACTACATTGATACCATAGAATTCTACTATAATTTATCAAGCTTAGTAACTAAGCTGTATTTGGGTAAAAAAAAATATGAAATTTCGAGCAGACTAAAGACTCAACTTACCAACTTGAAGTCTTGTATTGAAAGAACGAGTTGACATGATAATTCTTGAAAATGGCTGAGAAAGATACTAGGGGGACATTCTGAGTTTTCAATTGGTTATTCACAAGTCAAAGACAGAAGTAACTGTATATGAGGAAGTGTTTTCAAAAAAATTTAAATAGGTGGGCAGGGCCACTGTGTTTGATTCAGTACATGAGTGATATCTCAGTAAATAGAAAACATAGGAGGTTCTTATTGTATATTTTAGTTTGTCAATATCAGTAATTTAAGTTCCTAATTTGTAAGAAACTATAGACTTTGTAATTGGGCATCACAAACATCTAATATGAACCAGTGCTGCATTTAACATACCACGTGATACACAAAAATGGATAGTTAAGATAGTTAAGTTTTTAATATTTACTTTTAAATTAAGAAATTAAATAATGTATAATACTAAAATTTGAATTATAATCTCAAATTTGATACCAAACTCATAGACATAAATTCATAAAACAGTAGTTCAATACATGGCCTTTGACCCGTGTGGAGAGGGTTAAAAGAGTGTTGATTACATCATTACACAATATGACAAGTATCGTAGTCCACACCTACTTAATTATCTCACTTACACAATGTCTCCTACTAACAATGAGGGAAGAAAGAAATGTACTCCATATATATATATATATATATATGTATGTATATATAAAAACAGTAATTATGTTACAAATGTAACTCATACAGGTAATCAAAACCTGTTTTGTTAAAAAGTTGATAGTAATATCAGTAATGATGAAAAAAAAAGTAAAGCTAGAAAGAGGAAATTTGTAAATACTAACTTGCTCTAATTTTTTCCCTCAAAGTCCAAAGAGTCAAGCTATGTTACTTACAATAAATAGTTATCACAGAAGTGTACTAACTTGATGACATGTTCAATCAGCTGTAGTCCAAAGTGACGCACTACAGAAGAGTAACCTTTGTTTGTTAGTTGAAGACCACATTGGACACAAAGAGGAGAATTTTCCTTGAAATCTTCACAGATCTAGGAAACATGCAAATATGAATACAAGTGAAAAACTACAAGTAAAATGACAATCATGACTACAATACTAATAAAGAATTAATGCAATAGGCAGGCAGAACTCCACATCGTTATCTGTTTTCCTTGAATGAAATTTAATTTTAGGTTTAAGCCAGAGCTGATAAGAATCAAAATAGGAAATCTGAGAGAAAATAAAGTATCTGGGCTAGATAATACTTATTCCAGGATAATGAAGAAAAAAACAACAAATTTACCAACAATTCACTTTAAATTTAATAAGTTCATTAAAGGAGGTGAAGTGTTGGAAGATGCAGATAACCAATGACTGCAGATTGTAACAGATAATTAAAATTGTATAGCCTAACAGCCTTTCTATCCTCTCACATCTGCTTTATTTTAGTTTTATTGCTTTACATTGTACTATTAGCCTGTTCCTCAGTATATGAACCCCAATATTTCACAATGGTACAGTTTAGTGTAAACAAATAGATCAAGTTATATCCTCAGACCTCAAATGTTATAAATTACAAGCGAGTGATCATGAGAAATGTGAAAAGTTTCTTTTTTTTAAGTGAAGTTTTCTTATCTAAACAAACAAACTTATAATATTAACATTTTAGTTACATTTTTTAAAAAACATGTGTAGAAACAAAAAAATTGGCTCTTACCTCAGCTATGTAGGCCTATCTATATGAGAATGTACTTTGATAAGACCACTTTTTCACACTATTTCGGCTGTCCACAAAATATTTCATGTAGCCTTAAATATGCATTATAGATAGAGCTGGGCTATTAGTGATATTTGCTAACCTATTCATTGACAGCCCCATGAAAAAATTACATTTCATTAATCGATTAATACAGTGTTCTTCAAATGATAGTATATACAATCAAAACATAAAGTTGGCATCGAGCTCTGCCAGCTAGTTGCCTTCCCTCCACTCAGTAGTT